GTGTGTGTGTGTGTGTTGTACCTATACATACATCTATACCCCACCGTATACTCCACATACACCACATTCACCACCACACCCTGTATCCACATCCTTCTCCTAGAAAGCACCCGACCCATCCGCCACCACGCGATTGCGCCTAGTGCGTAATGACGCGCAAGTGACAGCCCATCTGTCGGCCATGACGTGTCTTGGGGGTGGCGTTGAGTTGTATGATAGGCGTGCGGGTGCCTTGGGTGAAGACCCTCTCAGAGACGATGCTGATCCCGAGGCCCTCTTTAAAAAGATACAGAAATGCACGGCCACGCAGGTATGGTGTGATGTAGGGATGGTCCGGTATGGCGTTTTGAAACCCTAAATCCCAAGAATAAAAACCCGTCCTGTGTTGTACTGGCACGGTACCTGTGCATGTGTGTGCTAGTTGTTTTAGGGTTTAGGGTTATTGTTGTTATGTATAAGTGTGGGGCTGTGTGTGCTCTCTCGAGTGTATCATAAGGCATTGAGAATGGCTCTGTTGCCGTTGTTAGAGTCGGTGTGATGGGAATGTGCGTCGTTAGTGCTATATGCGCTTCGTATTGTATTAGGCTGTTGTTCAGTTAACGTTCTCATGTGTAATACATGTATACATATACTATATATATACATATACTATACATGATGCATACACTTATGTCATATATACATATACTATACATATATACTTTTTCTATACATATACACATGTACTATACATATACTAACTTAATGTATTAGTCTATTGTTCCCTTGAAGTTCTCATTTTAATACGTACATACGTATACAATACATATATACATATACTATATATGTACTATTTTAACGTTTTAGTCTGTTGTTCACTTGACTTCTTAGTGTGCGCGTGGAGAGTCGCCGTGTTCTTCTTCTCATGCAATCGCTTGACTGTGAAACGCTTTGAGGGCTTTGCTATGCCTTGGACCGGTCAATACCAACAACAGACTTTATGTATATTTAAACCGTTCAGTGACATCCAACCTTTCGTTATAACGCGTTTCTGTATATCGTCCTACTTTGCTCCTCTTTCTTCATCACACAATTAACCCAATCCACCCATTTCTTCTTTCGATTGAAACACTAAAACCCTAAAGCCCTCATCTTGTACCATCTCTCCTCTGCTCGGCCCCTCACAACCCACTGCATGGCATTGTGCGTGTGCGTGTGCGTGTGTGTGGCGTAGACCATCGGTCGGCTGTTGATGGATCAGCGTTTCTTCCCAGGCGTAGGCAACATCTACCGCTGCGAATGCCTGTTTGTCGCAGGTGGGCTTAGTAGTGGCATCCTATCACGGCTGTCTCTGTCTGTGTCTGAGTTAAATAGTTTTCTATCAGGGCTGTCTCTGTATCTCTTTCGCATACTATTCCTAACACAACCTATTACTACAACTTTCATTTAACACAAACTATCACAAACTCTTTCACTATTCCAATTTCAGGTGTATGGCCAAACGCGATTGCCCGTGACCTGTCGAGAGCACATTTTGCCAAAGTATGGAGTGCCTGTGTCAAGGTATGTTACCAATATGTCACAGACTAATCTTATATTAGTTTAATAGTGTATTAGTTACGTAAGGTTCTAACAGTGTGTTAATGGAGTGCCTGTGTCAAGGTATGATATGAAAGTGTCACAGACTAATCTTATTAATTAAATAGTGTATTAGTTGCATGACGTTCTAACAGTGTGTTAATGGAGTGCCTGTGTCAAGGTATGTTATTAATGTGTCACAGACTAATCTTGTATTAATTTAATAGTGTATTAGTTACATGACGTTCTGACAGTGTGTTAATGGAGTGCCTGTGTCAAGGTATATTATTAATGTGTCACAGACTAATCTTGTATTAATTTAATAGCGTATTAGTTACGTAACGTTCTAACAGTGTGTTAATGGAGTGCCTGTGTCAAGGTATGTTATTAACGTGTTTATATTATTAAAATAGAGTATTAGTTTCGTAACGTTCTAATAATGTGTTAATAGTGTCACAGATTAGAAATATATTAATTAAATAGTGTATCACTTACGTAATGTTCTGGTGATGTGCTTATGCTATTGATGTGTCACAGACTAATATTATATTAATTGAATAGTGTATTAGTTACGTAACGTTCTAACAGTGTGTTAATAGTGTGTCACAGATTAGTAATATATTCATTAAATAGTGCATTACTTATGTATTGTACTGGTGGTTTGCTAGTATATGTTATGAATGTGTCACAGACTAATCTTGTATTAATTAAATAGTGTATTAGTTACGTAACGTTCTAACAGTGTGTTAATAGTGTGTCACAGATTAGAAATATATTAATTAAATAGTGTATCAATTACGTACTGTACTGGTGATGTGCTAATAGTGTTGTTAAGATCAGTAGTATATTAATTGAATAACTTATTGGTTACTCATTGTGCTGATAATGTGTTAATAGTGCGTGTCACAGATTGGAAATATATTATTTAAATAGAGTATTAATTACGTACTGTACTGGTGATGTGCTAATTGTGTTTGTCAAGATCAGTAATATCTGAATTGAATAATTTATTGGTTACTCATTGTGCTGATAATGTTTTAATAGTGTGTCACAGATTAGCAATATATCTATCTATCAACGTATTGATTACGTGATGTACTAATAATGTGTCAATAGTGTGTATCAGATTAGTATCATATTAAATAAAGTACGTATTAGTTGAATTTTTGTACAATTAATGTGGTAATAGTGTCTGTCACAGACTAGTGTTATATTAAATAGATAATGCATTATGTATTAGTTACGTATTGTACTGATAATATGATAATAGTAATATGTTAATAGTATCACATCCGTTGTATCCACTCCATCCGCTCCCTTTCCCACTGTGCTTGCCATGTGCGTGCTATGCATCCTAAAACCTTAAAATCCTAAAATCCTAAAACCTTAAAACCCTGGGGTTTAGCTGTTGCGTCGTGGCTTTGAGACGGGCAGCATTCTCACGGTAGACGCAAACGAAGGACTCCACGCCCGACGATACATCTATAACCGATCCACGTGTGCACGGTAGGTATGCATAGGAGTGTAGGCACCCTGAACCCCTAAACCCTAAAATACGTGTGACTGTGTGTTTAGGATTCAGGGTGTAGGGTTTAAGGTGTGGTTCTCGTGGGTTTTTGAAGTGAGCGTATGTGTGGCACTAGACTCGCACCATGACTGTTACGGATGCTTGATACCTACACTATGCGTATATATAACCCTAAACCCTTAAATCCTGAAGAAATATTAGATACTTGCAATGTACACACTGCCTACGCGCAGATTAACGCATTTAATTAATAGTGTACTTTATGTATGTGTACAATCACACACGTAATACTTACACACTCTCACACACGTACTACCTCCACACTATTACACACGTACTACCTACACACTATTACAAACATACTACCTACACACTATTACACACGTACTACCTACACACTATTACACACGTACTACCTACACACTATTACACACGTATCACCTACACACTATTACACACGTATTACCTACATAGTCTCACACACGAATTACCTCCACACTATTACACACGTATTACCTCCACACTATTACACACGTATTACCTACACACTCTCGCACATGTATTACCTCCACACTGTGTATATGCAGATGTGGTTCGCATGTGCTTTCGTGGGATGTTGGTGCGCGTACATGCTATGGCTGTGTCACATGTCAACCCATTGGCAAAGTGACAGCTGTCACCGCAACGGATTCAACGCAGGCGGCGTTGAAATTTGATAACCCCGTTGCCATAGCAACGCCCACCAGGCCCGTGCCCAGGAGTAGTCACGCGACGAAGCAGAACAAACAGACGGCGACTAACACGACTACAACGGTTGCCAGGTCAACTACAACGGACATCGAGGTGAGTCAGTGACACTTACCAGCATGTGACCTGTATAGTTACATAGATACCCGCATACGTGCATATGATCTGTATAGTTACATAGATACTCGCATACGTGAATGTGATCTGTATAGTTACATAGATACTCGCATACGTGCATGTGATCTGTATAGTTACATAGATACTCGCATACGTGCATGTGATCTGTATAGTTACATAGATACTCGCATACGTGGACTCAGATCTGCATAGTTGACACCCAATCTCTCAGTACGATTGCCCCACCCTCTGCTGCTGTGTGTGTGTGTGTTCATGGTTTGCACTAGTAGTATCTCATAGCTTGTGGTGTGTGTGTGTGTTTTAAGGTTGCACTAGTATTATTTCTTAGCTTATGGTGTGTGTGTGTGTGTGTTTATGGTTTGCACTAGTAGTATCTCATAGCTTGTGGTGTATTTGTGTATGGTGTGTTTATGGTTTACACTAGTAGTATCTCATAGCTTATGGTGTGTGTGTGTGTGTGTGTTTGTATTTATGGTTTGCACTGGTAGTATCTCATAGCTTGTGGTGTGTGTGTGTGTGTTTTAGGGTTTGCACTAGTATTATTCTGGTGTGTAT